AAACTTGTACATACTTTAGATTTTGAATCCCTCAGGATTTTTCACATTGATTTTGTCACGTGATTGACAACATTCAATATTAAATGTATGACATCTTCTAGTATCTAGACTACAAGTCAAATAAGCTTTAAGCTTACCAAGATGCATCATTCCACTTTTCACTTGATAATTATTTCTACACCAACATACTTTAATAGATGAAGAATTTGTATCATCATAATCTTTTACAATATTGTGCGCTACTGTATCAAAGACATCGTCAATGATATATCATTTTGTATCGATTCACAATACAACATAAATTATTGAGATCTCATCACTTCATCATTTTCAGGTACGTACCCCTCTCATGAGGTTTCATGAAGTGTTATGTCCTAAGCTCTTCAAGAGCGCATTGTCTCCTTATTATGATCATTTTGATTCTTTGTTCCTCCCCCTCTTTCAAGGATTATTTTACTTAGATTCGATTAGTCTATCATGCTTCATGCATCTCGTAGACTCTATCCTTTAGAAATATTCAATAGGAGCATTTACAACTCTTATGTTGCTTCTTAGCTCCCCTTATGTTAGACAAACTAACATATATCTCAATCTATTTTGGAGAATCCATCTTTGTGCATCATAGTATATTCACTAATCATATTCTGCACATCAAAATTATCAGATGAAAAATATTTGATCCCTAACCATAAATCAATTAAGAGAAAAATTGATCATAATTTATTAGTCTGATGCATACAACTACTTTAGTATGTAATACATTATATTTCAGACCATGAAACTTTGTTCTCATAAGCAATGATTGACTATTTATCTGAGGCATTAAATGTCACATCATCTTGGATATTTATCAATATTATCAAGATAATTGTCTTGATTACATATTATGAAAGTTGTGTTCTTAACTCAACTATCTTGCACAAGCAACTTTGCGAATGTCAAACTACAGGTTGACAACAAACGCACATGTGATTATCTTATAAATGCATCTCTTTATCATATCACACGATAGGTGAACGGGACCATATTCACTTTTTATAATTTTCAAAATTTAGGGATTTAGTCCCAACATTAGTTGATCCAATACACTTATCATGAGAACAAGCAACATAAAGAATTCTTGAAGAATCTTCTAGTTCTTCAATGTATGTCTATTACTTAGTATGCACATCTTTGGGATGACCAAATTATTCATGCCAACTAATAAAATTATTAGTACTTGTAAACTCCAAGTTTACTATGCCATGTGTCTTTTGCTTTAGTAAATTTCTAATTTACTATTATATGAGTAAATTTCAATTTTATTACTCTAAGAGTAATTTTTAGATTTATTTCTTCTCAGTTATTCTACCCCTTCTAAAGGTGAGTCGTGATCCCATCACTGATCGGTCTAATCTGATTATTAGAAAACTGTGGACGTAATTATATTATTTGTGCCAACATTTTTGCAAACATCAAGTTGCAAGATAACAATAGGCATACATGAGACCATCTAGAAGAAACATCTATTAGGACCATTAAGTATCTAAACAATCCACTAGGTGGATGAACAGGTCCACAAATATCCTCATGTATACGTTCCTAGAAGGCAGGGGACTCAAACTCAACTTTCGTTTATGATGGTCTCACAATTAACTTGCCTTGCTAACAATCAGTACAAGAAAATTCACCATTTAAAAGATTTTTTAGGTTCTTCAATGGATGTACATTTTAATTTTCCATAATTCGTCTAAACATTATAGACTAATGATGTCCAAGACAATCATGTCAAATTAAGAAAGTATTGGAATTTGTAAACTTCTTATTTACTATAGAATGTGCCTCAATTGCACTAATTCTTGTCCAATACAATACCATGATAAATTTCTTATGATCTAATCAAATTCAAGGAAAACAGTAATGGAGAAAACTGAAAAATAGCTTGAAGAAAGGAAAAACAAGTAGGAGAATAAGGGAATCATGAGAATCTACATTCTACCAAATGTTCTGATTGAAGACTGAAAAGATGATTCTTCACACTATACATGTGTGACTTTATAGGCTTACAATCAATTCTAACAAACTCACGTGCCTAGTCCATGACTCTAACTGACTAACTTACTGATTTTTAACCAACTCGATTAGCATTAATTTGGGCAGCTTGTTTGTAGCTCAATACTCCCCCTCAAGGTGGAGGGTGGAAGACATCTAACACACCCAACTTGGACATTAGCTCATCATGTTGTCCTGCTCCAAGTCCTTTGGTTAAGAGGTCAGCCATTTGCAACCTAGAACAGAGATATTATGGAGCAATAAAACCAGATTTCACCCTCTCTCAAATGAAGTGACAATCAATTTCAATGTGTTTCGTCCTTTCATGAAAAATGGGATTTGCTGCTATCTGAATGGCAGCCTTGCTATCGGAAAATACTTTTATGAGCATGGTAATAGATACACTCAGCTTTTTCAACAGACCAGCTAACCAGATTAATTCTGCAAGTACAACAATCATACTTCAATATTCAGCTTCAGCTGAACTCCTACTTACTGTTTGTTGCTTCTTCGATTCCCAAGAGATTAGAGAGTCCCTAAGCTTGACCACATAACCAGTAACAGAGCTCCTGGTATTTGGAGAAGAGGCCGAGTCTGAATCACAATATCCAGTTAATTTCGTGACATTTCCTCTTTTCAACAATACACCAAGACCGGGTGATTTCTTCACATATCTTATGATTCTAAGAGTTGCTTCCCAGTGTGATACCTTTGGTTGTTGCATGAATTGACTCAACACCTGCACACCAAAGCAAATGTCAGGCCTTGTAATTGTCAAATAGAGCAGCTTTGCCAACCAATTTTTGGTATGCCGTAATGTCATTAAATTTTGGATCATCAGTCGCACCAGTTTGTTTGTCATAATCCAAGCTAGTAAACTTGTGATTGAATTCCAATGGGGTGCTGGCAGGCTTAGCACCACTAAGAGCAGCATCTGAAATGAGTTGTAAAGCATATTTTCTTTGATTTAGTAAGATTCCTTCCCTAGATTTGAGAACTTCAATTCCAAGAAAGTATCTTAAATCTCCTAAATCTTTCATTTTGAAATGTTGATGTAGTGTCAACTTTGCTTCCTTGATCAGATCCCCACTGTTTCCAGTAATAAGAAGATCATCAACATAAACTAAGATAACAACAACATGAGCCCCTTGTCTTTTGGTAAATAAAGAATGGTCATGCATGCTTTGAGAATAGCCAGAATGTAAGAGAGCATCTGTAAGTTTGATGTTCCACTGTCTAGATGCCTGTTTAAGGCCATAAAGTGACTTCTCCAATTTACAAACCTTGTTCTCCCCCTGTCGATGGAATCTCCGAGGGAGTTCCATATAGACATCTTCATGTAAATCTCCTTGTAGGAAAGCATTATTGATACCCATTTGGAAAAGACTCCACCCATAAAAAGCAGCAACACTAATCAAGGTCCTTACTGTTACCATTTTAGCCACAGGTGAGAAGGTTTCATGATAATCAAGTCTCTCTCTTTGTGTGTAACCTTGGCCACTAGCCTAGCTTTGAATCTGTCTATTTCACCATTGGCTTTATACTTTACTTTGTACACCCACTTGGACCCTATAACTTTCTCTCCCTTAGGCAGATCCACAATAGTCCAAGTATTGTTATCTTCTAAAGCTAAAATTTCCTGCTGCATTGCTGTCATCCATCTCACATCCTGTGATGCTTCCGTAAAAAATTGAGGTTCAGTGATACTGGAGAAAGCACTGAGATAACTTTGATATTTACAAGGCAGATGGGCATAACTAACATGATTAGTGATGGAATAAGGATTGAACTTAGAGGGAACAACATAGTCCTTAGTCCAAATAGGAGGTTTAGAAGATCTGGTAGTCCTCCTTTGACCTGAGACTTGAGGATGAAGTGGATTACTATGAAGAGTATCTTCAACTAGTTCAAGCTCCTCACTTTGATCCACATGAATGTCGGAGTTGAGTCTTGGGCCAGCCACATCTGTGGACTCATGATTAAGAACTACACTATCAGAAGTGGAATTTTCACCTCCAGATGACATCACAGAATCATCACAATGCTCCATATCCTTCTTGACAATATCTGCATCATTAACAAATGGTGAAAGTAATGGTAAATGAGCATTTTCTGTCTGAATTCCCTTGAAAGGGAAGATATGTTCTTTGAAGGTCACATCCCTACTAATAAAAATAGCCTTGGTTTCCCAATCTAACAGTTTATATCCCTTTTGTGTGGAGGAGTAGCCTAACAACACACCTTGTTTAGCTCTTGCTTAAAACTTATCTCCCTTTGGTAAAACATTTGCAAAGCATAGACATCCAAACACCTTAAGATGCTCAATGAAAGGAGGCTTCCCATGTAATAGTTCAAAAGGTGATTTTCCATTCAAAACAGGTGTAGGCAGCCGATTAATTAAATACACAGATGTTTTCACACATTCACCCCAGAACCTTCCCGGAATGCCTGATTGCAGCTTCAATGCTCTCCCCATTTCTAATATATGTCTGTGTTTCCTTTCAGCTACACCATTTTGTTGAGGTGTATAAGGACAACTACTTTTGTGAATAATGCCAGAATTAAGCAACAACTCATTCACTTGCCTGTTAAAAAACTTTGTTCCATTGTCTGATCTCAAAATCTTTATTCCAGTGCCAAATTGATTACAAACCATAGAAATGAAATTTTTCAAGACAACTACAACATCTCTCTTGGATTGTAAAAGAGTGATCCAAGTTAATCTACTATAGTCATCAACAACAGTTACAAAGTAATGTTTGCCATCATATGTGGACTGCTTGTGAGGACCCCAAACATCTAAGTGCACAAGATCAAACATGTTATGTGATTGTGAACTACTAAGGGGAAATTTCAACCTGCATTGTTTAGCTAAAGGACATATCATACAGTCTTGTTGAGTACCTATACCAACTTTATTCTTCAAATAAGGAATGTGGTTCATGGATCCCACAGAGGCATGTCTTAGTCTAGTGCCATAGTGTGTGATCAACGTTGTCTCCCACTACTGCTCCAATGACAGGTTCAGTGTGCTTCTTTAGTATATAGAGTCCTTCTGTCTCTCTACCAATCCCAATCACCTTCCCATTTGAAAGGTCCTGCACCACACATAGGTCAGGATAAAAGGAAACAAAACAGTTGAGATCTTTGGTAAGCTTAGACACTGATAACAGATTAAACTTAAAATCTGGAACATATAGTACATTCTTCAAACAGAAACCTCCTAAAATTATAGCATCTCTTGTGTGTTTTACTTGAGTTCTGCTCCCTGTTGGAGTTTGAACTTTATCACAATTAAGATCAGACACTTTCTTCATTTCTCACAAGACTTTTGCACTATGTGTTATATGATGGGAAGAACCTGAGTCCACAATCCATTCTACAACTTCATAACTACTTTGGACAAAAATCATACCTGCCGCATCAGTTCTGCAGCTTCCTGTTGGTGCTGGTGGCAACATGCTCAATAATTGATCACACTGTCCTCTGGTGAAGAATGCTCCATGTGATGTTGATGATCCTGAGTTGTTACCTGTCTCCATTGTGGAATTGTTGGCATAAGGTGTAGATCCTTCATGATGTGCCTTCCTCTTGCTTTTGAAGTCTGCAGGAAATCCAATAATTCTATAGCAAGTATCCTTCATATGTCCTTTGTATCCACAGTGCTCACAAACCATTCCTGCTCTTCTCGTTTGAAAACTTGATTGATTTTGGAGATTGAGTTCATTTGGAGGCATGTGGTTTTGTTGTCCAGTTGCACCTGAGAAGCGTTGATTTGGAGGAAATTGAGAATTCCTTCCAGCAAGCATAGTCATCGATTCCTGTCCTCCTTCAGTCACTCCTAGTTTCCTTTGGCTTTCCTCTTGTATTGTTGTAGCATACGCTTGATTCACACTTGGAACAGATGAACTAAGCAATATGTTGCTTCGCACTTGAGCAAAGCTCTCGTTTAATCCTACCAGAAATTGTAGTAATCGTTATTGTTTCACGTGTTCCATGTGAGGTCTAGACTCCACACAATCACATGACGGATTTGGGACCATTACATCCAGTTCGTCCCATAGATCTCACATTTTGGAGTAGTAAACATTTACTGAATCTGTACCTTGAGTTAACATGCCGATTTCTTTCCACAAATAGAAAATCCTGGTTAAATTCGACTTGTCAAATCGTTCCTTGAAATCTTCCCAGATCCTCTTCGAGCTTGCAGCATAGACAATGCTCGTCATCAATTTAGGTGTGCTCAGAGACATTTTTGGTGATACCACATCCACGACTAAAGGTCGCGATCTTTTCCACGCCTAGCATGGTGGCTTACACCTTATTCCCTTTAGAGAATGAATCTATATTTTTAGCATTTATCAAAAGTTCTCATTCTTCATGAATGGAACACAAACATGTGAGCATATCAAATTATGATAGCTTTAGTACCTCATTCCATATTCATGTGCATTATTCAATCACTTGTCTTCTTTCAGACATATTATGCACTGCTACCACATTCACTTTCGGGGATGGAGCGATTTCAATGGGATAGGTTTCATGATTATTTTTAAACGAAAGCACATTGTTTGATTTAATAGTCAACATATCATCAATATGGTGCATTAGGACTTAAACCTAATGTCTTATCCATGTAAAGACATTTTAGGCCATAAATCGATGGAATTTAAACCCAACATCTTATCATCATGGTGCATCAAGACTTGAACCTGATGTCTTACCCTCTTGGTGCGATTAGACATGAATCTATTGTCTTATCCTTTTGGTGCGATTAGACATGAATCTATCGTCTTATCCTCTTTGTGCGATTGGGCATGAATCCATCGTCTTACCCACAATGAGGCTCAACCTCAAGCCTTCAAAACAATTGTAATTTTATCACTTTTAATGATCATTAATATGATCGTACATTATAATTACACACAAAATTGAGATTGTTGATTTATTATAATCAACATTAGTAGTTAATAGATATAGCTTAATAGATCACATACCTTCTGCCCAAATATCTGCAAATAATCACTGATTTGTCATTGATATAGCTTAACCAATTAGCTAAATATCTCACGATATCACCACAAGTCCAGAGCTACAGAAAAAGAATAACATTAAATATTCATAAACAATATTTCAGCAAGATAAATTAAGTAAGAATAACAAAAGGATTATTAGGCCCAATAATATCCAAACACTGGAGCAGTAATCTTAATGATTGATATGCCCTTCTCTTTTTCCTTGGTAAGGCGTGCGTGGGTTTAGTTCACGTGCACATCTTTCGCTCTTTCTTTAGATGGCAGAGTCTCGTGCTGATAACGTGTTATGAAACTATATAAAATAATGAGAAGAAAATAGGGAGAAGAGAGAAGACTTCTTATTCTTCTTGAATGATATTTAGGGATTCATAGATCTGATTTACAATGAAGAAAAACCCATTTATTTATAGGTGAAACCTAACTTGGTCCCCAAGTAGGATTCCTAACCATACCCCAAAGAACTCCACATAATAGACATTCACTTTAATACAAATATGTTTATAACAAATTATAATTTTTCACGTGACATTTTAAGACTAAAAGATTAAAAAAATATTTTGATTCTTTAGTTTAAGCTTACAAGATTCAAAAGTACTATTATTCTCTCTCTTAAATTTCATGTCAAGTCAAAAATTAGATAATTTTTATTTTCTTAAATTTTTGTATCAAGTCAAAATCATTATTTTTTAAAATTTTATGTAAAAAATCAGATAAAAGTATTTACTATTATCAGAGAAAAAATAAAATAGAGGGAGCATTCTTTTCCAAATTTGTAGAAAAGATAGCGGCATCCACTCCTCGCCTTTCTTTCTCTTTCTCCACAAATCACTCTTTTAGTTATTATCCACCTCCATCTCTTATCTCTCTACATTACCTCTCTCTTCCACTATCTCTGTCTTATTTTGTTGAATTTAGTGTTTTATTATTTGACACATATTCTTAAAGAAAATGAATAAGCAACTCTTTCTCACTTTTAATTGAATATAAATATGCAGTGCTCTCTCACTTTTTGCTATTTCTCTCTATGAATCTCCAATGACCTTTTTAGGACTATTTCAATTAATAAATTTTATCTCCCCCTGTCCGGTTTTCTTGTTTAGAAAGTAGTATGCTAATTTCAACTAGAATTATTTATATCTACCTTATGAATTAATTTCTTGTTAGAGATTTTTCAATAAATATGATTTTTTTTTTCAACTGCGCCATATATTTAGTACTTTTCTTTATCTTAATTCTTGATTTTTATTTTTTTTTGTTTGCAGACAAAGCTTAAGTAGGTCAGTCTCTTGAGAAAAGGAAGGAAGCATAATTTTACCATGTAATTTGGGTAAGTATCTACCTTGTTTATTTTTCATTCTTATATCATTTTTACTATAAATTTTGATAATATATATCATGTTTAAATCATTATACCAGTTGGTACATATCAAATTACTTTTTTTTTTCTTTTTATACAGGTACATGCAAGAAAAAATTGAATCAAGAGTAAAGTTATTAAATAAGTGGCCTACATGAGTATATGAGGAACAATATTTTGTCTTTTTATTTTTAAAATTTACGACTAATATTCATTTATTTCATCAACATATAATATAAGAAACTTGTAATGAGATATTATTTCAATACTATTTTAGTTCTAAATTATATGATTACGGGTGACACTTTTTGTTATTATCTTAGATGTTTTATTATGTTATGTCAAGTTTATATTATTATATGATTCATGCTAAATTTACAGAATAAACTCGACACTGGTCAAGAAGTCAATTTAATAAATTCTCTTGCTACTTATTACAATTGAGAGTTTTCTTTGTAAAACATTTACGTATATGAATTGTCTTATCTTGTAAAATATGAGAAATTTGTTCCCATTAATAAATTATTGAATTGACGAGAAAATAGTGAAATTTACTATTTACAAATTTGACCATCATCAAATGTTTGTTGTTTTAGTTGTTTTTAATAGTATGATTATGGATGAATTTTATTATTATTTAACATGTGTTATTATTTATTTTTTAATTTATGCAACTCTAATTTTAAAAAAATAATACTAATATTAAATAAATAAATGTCATCAAATATTTGTGAATTAGTGACAATTTTTTTATCATCAATGACTAAATTAAACTTATTAAGACAAATATTTTTATCAAAAAATAAAAATATTGTCATAAATTGACTACATTTAATGAAAAACTGTATTTGTCCCCGCACCCTTTGTTTTTATTGAATACGAATTAATTTTTTATTTTGTGACAATTGTAATTGTCACTAATCATGATAAAAATTTTGTCACAATTATATCATGTCAGTAAAAGCAATACTTTTAGTGACAAGATGATAGGTTTAACTACAAAACTGTTAACCTTTTTATAGGGATAAATTTGTTTCTAATTTATATATTTTAGGACGAATTTTTTTGTATATAAAAAGTAGTCATTGGTGATGAAATTATATTTTTTCAACTACAAATTACATATAACTTTAGAGACAATTGGTGTCATCACTAATTGAAACTAAATAATTAGTGACGATGTAGTTTTGTCGGTGATAATAACTTTTTAAGTGACAAAACATACTATTATTAACTACACAAAAATTATAGTTTTTATGACAAATAAATATGTCTCAAATGTTTACGCATATAGAGACAATTTTTCTTTTTTGTAGTTAATATAATACTTTTAGCGACGAAGCACTAAATCGCCTTTGTATACTTTTAGCGACGCACATCTAGTGACGACTGATTGACGAAATTTTTTTCGTCACACAAGATTTTTAGTGACGAAATATAATTTTTAAATGACGGAATTATTTGTCCCTGATAATTGAATTTGTTGTAGTGATAACCAAAACATCAATTGATGACACAACTTTTTCACTTTTTTATTAATATATGTAGGGCTTCCATCATTTTTTTACAAAGATACAAGGATGAATCTCCCAATTTTTCTACTTGGTTTCTTTCCTCTTACCTTACAACACTCCAACCTTAGACTTTTGACCTAAATTGACTATTCATACAAACTAATGCTTCAAGAGGGTTTTTGAGTGAGAAAGGAATACCAATTTTAAGGCTAAGAAGTTCAAAAAGTTTTCAAAGAAACATATTAAGCTCAAATAGTGCCAAAATGGATTCACACTATCACATGATAGTCACGATGAAGGTATAATAATTTGGCTCACTCCCAAAATTGTTGCCTAAGATCGTCTATCACATTTATCAAAGTCAAACAATTGGACCGACAAGGAAAATTCTAGATATCCTCACGCATGCCTTTCAAGTACACCTCACCACACTACAAGAAACAGTGTTTATTGTGGCGCAAAATGTCGCCACAAAAGGTCATAAAGTCGCCACTAATGATATATAGTAGCGACTACTTCCCCGTTGGTAGTACTTCCATAACTAAAGGTTTTTTGTGACGACAAATGAAAGTCTCTACTATAAAAGAGTATTTGTGGCGACATAAAGCGTCACAATATGTAAATAACTATGCCACCAAAACCAAAGTTACAATACACATATTTGGCCTAGTCGCCACTAAATAATGATTTTTAGTGGCAACTTTGCTGCCACAAAACCCTATAATGATCTGTGGCGAGTTAATGTCGCCACTAAATAACGATTTTTAGTGGCAACTTTGCTGCCACAAAAACCTATAATGATCTGCGCCGAGTTGATGTCGCCTCTAAATAAAGGTATTTAGTAGCGACTCCTCCCGCTACAGAAATATATTAACTATCAGTGGAAACCCTTTTTCCATTGCAAAAGCCTACTTTTAATAGCAACATAAGTCGCCACAAAAACTACTATAACATTTGCTGCAACATTTATTTCCTTACTAAATATTTACCACTGATGAACAATAATAACAATAAAAAACTATAAATCAAATTCTCTAAATTTAATATATAGCTATTATGAACATCTAAAGTATTTCACAAAATGAAACTATTATAAATACAAAAAATTCAACTACATAATAGTACTTCCATTAGTGTTGTATTCATATTATACATACATGTGATCAAAATAAAAAAAATATTTCAATTGTATATGCATATACATATGGTCAAAAAGCAAAAACTTCCATTGCAGGCCTTCAAACTTCTTTTAGATTGACCCCATTGTTTAAGAAACTTGTCCCTGTAATTAGAAAAAACACAATCACTTTCTAATTCAAATAATAGAAGAGGTGATATAGATAACATAGGAAAAGATAAATGTCTTATTTGCATATTTCATTCTCCCAGAATTTCCAGTAACATCGAAAGACAGGTTCCCAAGTCTAATGCATCTAATGAAAAAATTGAACAACCTCAAGTAAAGCCTCTCTATCCTCCCAAAAAGGAACAGATTGTTGAACCTGTTCCTTATACATTATTACAGACTTATGCTGATCGTCTTAGATATAATCAGGCTAAGAATGATTTCCCTATATCCCTGACTATTGCTTTTACTGTAAACATCAAGGTCATTTAGATCATGATTGTACGATAAAACAAAGAGATGAAGACCATAAAAAAAAGAAAGGAAATAGAAAATGGAAAAGGCAAAAACAAAAAAGAATTTGACACTATTCCTCAGCAGTCACAGGTACAGAAAGAGCCAGGTCAAAATGAGGCTAATAAGAATAGATAGCAAAAGGATCTGAACACAAGAGGAAAGCAGCAGGAGGATCACTGGCAAACACAAAGAAAAAAGAACACTAACCAGCAGCAAGCACCAATGAGTCTCACCAAGCAAGCTGATCAACAACATACTTCACAAGCACGTGTAATCTCTATTCCTACACACAATCCATATACTGATCTAGATGTGCAGAAACACACACAAAGTGTGCAGGAACTAACCAAGGGCAAGGGAAACACAAATGCTGGCAGCACTCAAGCTGTCACAAAAATGAGTCGGCAGCAACAGGAACAAGAAGAAAAGAAAATGAATGTGGCAAAGCAATCTGGAAAGAAGATTACTGCAACTCCACCACAGGTTGATCCTCAAGTTCCAGTAAATAAAAAAGGCAATCAAACAAAGGCATTAGCAAACAATAGTTCACTGCTTGCAACAGGACAACAATAGTTCACTGCTTGCAATAGGACAACAATAGTTCACTGCTTGCAACACGACAACAATAGTCCACAGGTGCATAAACAATAGTTCACTGCTTGCAACAACTGGAATCAATTCACGTTTCTCAAAATAACAAGACAACAAGTAAATTTAGTTTAACTACGATATAGTATGAAAAGGCATTAGCAAACAAAGAAAACATTCCTGTATTTTCAAACTTCCACCAGAAGATTAACTCGTATTTATGTCAATAATTTCATCAAACTCTTTGTATACGTTATTCAAAATCAGATTTAAAGAAACAAGCCAATAACTATAATAAGTAAGAAATAAGAACTTTCAAAGAAATAAATTGAATTGTTAAGAAGAAAAAGATAAAGTACTTGTTGCACCCTAGTCATGATAGCGGCCAATTGTTCTTGGAACATTTTGTCAACTTCACCTTTCATGTGTTCACGCTCCTCTTCCAATTTTTTTTGCAGATCTTCTTCCATACTCCTTTTTAAATCTGCCGCCATGTGTTCACGTTCTTCTTGTAGCTTTCGTTCCATATCAACTTGCATCTCTTGACGCATACTTTCCATTGCTGAAGAAACACTAGCCTCTATGTCTGCCTGTTGTATTTGAGCTTTTTTAGGAGGCTTTTTCCCATATCCTTTTCCACGAACATAGCCTGATCTCTCACCGAGAACTGAGGATAAAATCGCATCCCTAGTCATGGGAGTTTCGATCTCTTCTGATTCTTGTTGAACAACAAGTTGTTTGAGCTGGCTCTATAATAATATGTACCAGTTACATCAAAACATAATGGACATATTGAAACTAACATGTAGTAAGTCAGTAAGATAGTAAGGCAATGATTTTAGAAAATTACATGAATCTGTTGGGATTGTGGATCCAACCATACACGTTCTCCGCTAGCACTTTTACGTGTGTGTTGGATCTCCCAGACTTTATCTGGTGAGTCTAATTCTCCTGATATTGGATCTCTCTGCAATATAATTCAATAAGGAAAACACACAAGAACACGTATATGTAGTAATAGGAGAAAAAATGTATTTTCACCGTAGATTCCTCTACTTCTGCAAATGATCTTGTACCACAAGAATGCTTAGTTATTTGTTTTTCTCTATTGTTTTTGTTTCTTTCACTGATAACCTGCAATATAACAAAATATATTTATTCAAAGAGAAAACTAGCATTTGACCACACTAGGTATTTTCTAAATTCAATAGCTCTTGTTATTAATTAAATTACCTTGAATTTCTCACTGCCAAAATACTTAACTAGGTATTTCCAGTCCTCCAACTCAACATCCTCAGGACGATTAGACAATCTGTCTTCATCCGTACTATAGGCACAATAGTGATTATGTAATCGAGCTTTCCAAGCTCTAAAGAGTCTTTGCATAGTGCTTATCACAAAGCCTTGTAACTTATGTGCTCGCAGCCCACCAGAAACTTCAAATTTGTCCTGAACAAATTGTAACATTAAATTTGATAATTCAAGTAATATAAAATAAATACAACTTTGAAAGTGATTTATTACCTTGACCTTATACCACATTGTTTCTCCATGTTTTGAAACAATATTCTGCCAATTTCCATCTTGAAATGAGATACTGTTCCTCATGATCAAGCCTGCGTAATTAACAATATCTCTAGCCCTAGAACCCACAGCTCTATCAATATCATCTGGAATGATTACTTTGATCTTTCCTCCACACTTAGTTTTAATATCAACAGTTTTAGATTTATATTTCCCTCTTCCTCTCTTTCGATTGATGCGAGATACTGCAAAGAATAAATTATCATTAAAAGAAACGTATTAGTGAATATTCATTCTACTGCTTGATAATGTATACTAGTTTTCATAGTTACTTCACCAGTGAGCCCAAATTGTTGTCATAAAGGGTTTTTAGTCTTTAGAAATTTTGTTACAAAGTTAACACAGCAAACAACACTCAATCGTTATATAGATAAGAACAATTAACAAAACTAATATACACTCGTATTTCTGCATCTAATATACTTGCAAAAAGAATAAGTATCACAGGAGAACCAAAATCAACATCAAGCAGTCAACTGTGTTGAACCAACTGCACTCATCATGTGCTGAAGTTGCTTGATACTAAGCAATTGAGTCTATCTACTAGGGAGGTACGTGAACTAACCAGCACCAATTTAACCTCTAGGGAGGGACAAATACTTTCTTCTAGATTTCTTGATTATTGTGTCCCTGGAGATGTTCTTTGGAGAGGATCACTTGATATTTGTTCCACATGTAGACGTCCTTGACTTGGGTTAGGTGTATGTGTTGTCTCCAATGATACTTCATCAACTCTTATTTGTTGTATTGGTGGCTGAGATGTAGTACCAAAACATTCACGTTCTCGAAAATTTCCACGTCCACCTCCTGCACCATCTCTTCCACTATTACCTTTACCTCGTCCACGTCCTCGACCAGTTCCTTTCATTTCCTGGAACATTAGTTATAAAAAGAGAAGTATCAGAAGTAGAAATTAAAGCTTATTATATCTACCTGCCAAGGAAAATATCGATTCATAAAGCAGAGTATTATATTAAACAAGTAAAAAATGTGGGACACTTTACTAACAAGTACTATTGTTTCATTGATGGAAATGTAAATCATTGATTCTACTTAAAACGCTGATTGTATTTACAAAGTTAAAGCTACAAATGTCATGAATTAATTTCATGTCAGCCCAATAAGAACAAAATATAGAGAACTTATCAAAACAAGAGTTAAACATCTATTTCAGTAGTCTTTGTTTCTCAATCATCAAAAGTATTCATCACTGTCTTCACCATCATCATCATCTAGTAACTCTTCTTCGGTTTCTTCACTCCCAGATACATCTGTCTGATTGTCATTAATGAAATTATCTTCCTCATTTTCTTGATCATTGGTATGCAAAACAGTTTGTGGTTCAACATCATCCCTGTATAAAGACACATGAATATCAGGTTCATGGTCATTGGGACACAAAATATTACATTCCACTTCCTCTTGTTGATAAGCTTCTTCATTCATTACTGTTTCTTCAACTTCAGTCATATTAAAAAGATCTCGAGGATTTGTCTTTACAACAACGAGCCAATCTTTGTCAACCATGTCTTTCAAATAGAAGACTTGTTCACACTGAGATGCCAACACAAATGGCTCATTTGTATTTAAGGCACAATGAGTATTCACACTTGTAAAACCATATTTGTCAATCTTATATCCTCTTCCTAGGCGAGCCACATCCCACCAGTGACACTTGAATAGATGAACTTTTCTATTTCCAACGTAGCATAACTCGTAAATGTCCTCTAATACACCATAATACTCCTTATTAGAGTCTGAATCATCTCCTCTCACAAGAACTCCACTGTTCTGTGTTTTTCTCACAAGCTCTTTTGTGTGGAACCTAAATCCATTCACCATAAATATTGAATATCGATGCACCAAAGGTTCTGGACCTACAGCTAAGCTTATGAGCTCATCAGTTGCGCGTCCTTGTGAAGCTAGTACAAATATCTACAAAAAAAAATAAGAATTGTTCATACTTAGATGTCAACAATAATAGTTAATTAAGTGTTGTTTGTAAATTCTTACACGTGCACGAAACCAATCAATAAAATCATTATTCAGTATCCCATGAGGTCTTGTTGAACCTTGTATTTCAATCTCTCTCATGTATTCCCTACATTTTGTGTTAGTTAAGGTTAATTAAAATATCTTGATGTGAAATTAAATCTGAATAATAAGAAACTTACTCTATGAAAGGTGAAACCTCTTCACAATTTTGAAGAATATACAAAACTGCTTGGTTGAATTCATCATGGGGTAGTTTCTTTCCATCAGAACATCCCTTTGTTTGCCCACTTTTTTTAAAGATAGACATCTCACCATTTGATTCAAATCCATCATCATTTCTTGCTGGTTTATTGAACTTAGTTGAGATACTCTTAAAATAGTGTGAGAAAAATGTAATGCCTTCATTTGCATCATGACCTTCAACAATTGCACCTTCTGGATGACCAGGATTGCGAATATATGATTTAAGTGTTCGCAAATACCTATAAATAGATTTCCAATTTATAAAATATGATATTTAAAACATATTGTCATCGAAATTACAGAATGAGATGTTACCTCTCAATCGAGTACATATCCCGATATTGAACTGGTCCACCAAGTTTTGCCTCTCTGGCCAAGTGTATTGGCAAATGAATCATGACATCAAAAAATGCTGGAGGAAAAACCATTTGAAGTTTACACAATATGATTGGAATTTCAGCCTCAAGGATATCAAGATCTTCAATTGTCAAGCACTTAGAGTATAGATTCTTGAAAAATTTGCCTAAGGCTATAATTGGTTCACATACTTCCTTAGGCAGTAAACCACGTATAGCAACTGGTAAAATGTCTTGCAATAATACATGATGATCATGAGACTTCAATCTATGTATCTTTTTCTCAAGTACATTAACACACCTTGAAATATTTGATGAAAAGGCATCTGGAACCTTCAAATTAGCTAAGAAATCACATAGCTTGAACTTCTCATCAGGGGACAATGCATAGCATGCTACCGGTAACAAAATTTTATCTCCATCCTCAATTGGATGCAACCCTTGCCTAATACCAAGGTCCACCAAATCATATCTACTTTTCAATGTGTCTTTTGTCTTTCCAACAATACTCATCACAGTTGATAAAATGTTGTCAGACACATTTCTTTCTATGTGCATCACATCTAGGTTATGTCTTAACCTAAGACTCTTCCAGTAAGGCAAATGAAAAAAGATACTTTTCTTCCTCTAGTTATAAGCATTGGCAGAAACATTACGCTTTCTCTTTTGTCATTTACCAAAACTCACATTGCCCAAATTTTGTAACTGTATAAGTGCTTCATCACCTGTTAAAGGGCTAGGTGCGACACCTATTTCCACTTTCCCATCAAATAACACCCTATTTCTACGCCATGGATGATTTGTGGGAAGGAAGCGACGATGACCCATATAACACAACTTGTTACGTAAGGAAATCGATTGTGTGTCTTTATGGCAACAAGGAAATGCAAGCTTTCCTTTGGTTGACCATCCAGAAAGGTCCCCATATGCAGGAAAGTCATTAATCATCCACATGAGAGCCACACGCATAAGAAAATTATATTTTGAGTGTGCATCATAAGTCTCCACCCCATCCCATAATTCTTTCAACTCTTCAATCATTGGTTGTAAGTATACATCAATATCATTGCCAGGAGACTTAGGGCCTGGAATAAGAAGTGTCATCATGAAATATGAACTCTTCATGCAATCCCATGGTGGCAGATTATATGTAACTAGAATGACAGGCCAAATGCTATGATTGGTACTCATATTTCCATAAGGTTGGAATCCGTCGCTTGCTAAACCTAATCGGACATTTCTTAATTCATCTGAAAAAGTAGGATGATGCTCATTGAAAGATTTCCATTCTATTGAGTCAGACGGATGTCGCATGACACCATCATCAATATTGTCTTCCTTGTGCCACCTCATTTTCTTTGATGTCTCTTTTGCCATGTATAGTCTTTGAAGCCTTGGTTTGATAGGAAAATGTCGCAATACCTTATGAGCTACTTTCTTGCCTTTGTGTTCCTGTGACTTCCATCTAGACTTACCACACTTGGGACATGATTGAGCATTGGCATAATCGCGCCAATATAAAATACAATCATTCTGACATGCATCTATTTTGGTATACCCCAAGCCTAGGTCACGAAGAACTTTCTTTGCTTCATAGAAAGAGGTAGGCACAAATGACCCATTGGGAAGAACTTCTTTAAAGAAGATTAATAACTCATCCATCGATTTGTTGCTCCAATGATTAAGACACTTCAAGTGAAGTAATTTAACAATAAAAGACAACTTTGAGACTTTTGTGCAACCAGGATAAAGTTCTGTCTGAGCATCTTTTAATAGTTTGTAGAACTTTGTTGCATGGATATTTGGCTCTTCATTACCCTCTGAAGAATTCGTATTATTCTCCACATTTGTATATCCACAAGCATCGTGAATCATTCCAGTAATGTCATCATCTTCAGTGCTATCATCCTCTACTTCATCTCTATGTGTGACATTAGAATTTTCAACTCTAGCTAACACTTCTCCATGCAAGTCCCACACTTTATAAGAATCCCAGAAGCCCTTTTTTAATAAGTCTCCTCTTACATCATTTTTTAGCTTGAACACTGTATTCATACACCCTTTACAAGGACATCGAATCATAGTGTTCACCCCGGGTTGACTAAATGTCCAATTAAGAAAACCTTCCACTCCATCTCTATACCTTTGATCAACTCTATTCCTAATATTTAACCAACTTTTATCCATTCCTACTTTTAAGAAAAAAACAATTAATTAATTAATTCAATTGAGGACCTATCTGGGAATCTGTTAGACTCTTACTGCACAAAAATGAAGATCCAAAAGAATAAACAACAATTCAAATTACCAATTTATGTTAAAAAAAAGCTTATTTTCAGTGAAATATATCTATAAAAAATCATGAATTGCGTACAAGCATTATATTTCCAGTAATGGTGATATGTCATAATTTAGTGTAAAAGAAAATTGCTAGATCATGTGTGGCAGAGAAATCTGGATAAATAAAGTAAAAAATATCAATAATGAGGCTATGACTAGAATTGAAAATTAAATGAGTAGTGATCTTGCTATGGCGTACCTAATGTTGAAAATCAAAGAACACACAAATATCAAAGTTTGCTAGAAAGATGTAGACCACAATCCGGCCAAGATTGATCGGAAAATGACCTGAAAAACTAGCAAAACAAAAAAGGAACATAAGTTGTAAGGATATTAAAAGAAATTAAGTAGTTAAAAGTAACAATACAACATAAATATCAAGAATTTGAATCTAAACGAGGTCTAGTGGATTTAGGAGAGTGAAAAACATCATTTACGATGTCCCCAAGCTACTCTCCACTAAATGTACATAATTCCACAAGAAATCTCCAAGGAAATCTCTCTCCAACTTCCACAATAAAAAAATGAAATAAAGAAGAACACACTAGTGACTTGATTGTTGTTATTGTCGCTATGACAAAGTAGAAAATGGGTCACCAATGCGAGAATAAATGTGTTGACTGACTCTGTAGGCGAGGTAATAACTTCTTAGCTATTGTCACTAGTGTGTATGTAAAGAATGAGCAAAGTCAAAGAGAGCTCATGGCAAACTTTACAGACTATAGGTGCTTCTATACAAGTACCATGAATTCTTAGTAGAGACTTTAAAAATGTCATGTATGTCAATGAAAGGATTGGTCATCCTATAACAGTTCTTGAGGTGCAGGGGTTCAAGGAAATGCTAAAGCAGTTACAATTCACTCTTCTGAAGGCACTTGGATTTTTTTTCACTTGGAGCAATAAATAACACTACTAAGAATTCATGGTCACCAATGCGAGGATAAAAAAGTTACGAATAGTACTCCTGATGTTCAATCTTATGGATCTGTTTATCTGGTAACTTAAGATTGCAAAAGGGTAGGTTTAATTTAGCAGAGAGTACAGTTATGTGTCATGAATCTATGTGTTCGGTGAATGCAAACAAATATCATAAGCAAAAAAGTATTTCCATTTGTTGCAAGAAACATGTTCTTTTTTCATCATCACACGCTGGTCTAGTAATAGGTTCTGAATTCACCCATGATTTTAGAGTTTTGAATTTGAATAGCGTCAACATCAACATCTTGTTTGACGAATTTCAGGAAAATCAGACATACTCATAATGCTTTTTTTTTTACTGCAGCTATATCATAATCAACATGTTCACTGCAAACTACTCTTAAATTTCAACCAAATATTGTCCAAATGCCTGCATGATATTTTAAGTAAGCTGTAATATAGATTTACAGTGAATTTTAGAAGCCATACAACAAATGAACACTCACATTTATAACAAAAAAATTCCTAATACTCTCATGTAAGAGAAGATAGATTCCCCTCAATTCTGAAACAGAGAAGCCCCTTGGCCCTAGCAATTTGTTTTACACATATACAATCTAGTATTACAGACTTTGGATCCATAGGCAAGGTTGTAGTTGCGACCACGACTTCACAGGGTCGAGGCTTGGTGACCTGGTCACCTTCGCATGTGCAACCACTTTTTTGTAGGATCGAGCCTTGGTTCCGCAAGAGCAGCTGCACCAGCAGGTGTTGCACCAGCAGGTGTTGCACTAGCTCTTGTGATTCAAATTCCAAGTTTCAATCGGACCTTCGAAAATAATGCGGGGTCCCACCAACGTAAACCAAATATGTTACCCAATTAGAAACAAAATTCTGGATTTAATGTAACTTACAAAACTTTCAGTGGAGGTCGTCTCGACAAAAATAGGTCTCACACCCAAGGCTCCATTTTAACTATAAGTAAGAATATATCTTGAAATGAATTTGAAAGCCTTGAGACCCAAACAAAGGTAATTCTAGAAAAAACTCAACATTCCAGAACTAACAAAACCATTAGAACTTCATTTCAAGGCCATTTAGTAAAGTTACATACAAGCAGATTTAGCCGGCCATGGACTCATACTCTTAAGTCATTTGTGTCTATATTTCACTTTAGTTAATCTAATCTAGTAAGATCAAGAGTTCAACATACTGAGTTGTCCAAACACGAGGATGTACGATGGTTTTCTTTATGGTAGAGCCATTTATTAACCAACAAGAACTCCAATTAAGGAAAATATTATCGTTCAGCTGAAAAAATAAGACTTCAACAGCTTCAGTAAACCAAATCACCAACAAGCTTTTATGTCTGGGAAAAGATTACAAACTCTTGAAACTTTTTAGAAGGTTTCAAACAAATTAACATATATATACAGAAATCGAGTTCTATTGAAATAATAACAACACACTTAGAACTACAATTTTCTTTTAAAACAACAATTTTTGTACAATTTTCGACATCAATATGAACATGCAGTTACTTTACAATATCTACATATCTAGAATTTCAAAAAAAAATCTTCAATAAACCCAGAGAAAGAGATAGCTCAAAAACAATAGTGAAGATTCAGAATCGACAAAATATGAAAAATAAATAGAGAGTTAACATGAGTGGCACCTTACAAGCCTTTGAACAACTTCAAAACTTCGAAAACATCAAAATCTTGTAGTGATAATCAAACTTCGAACCTTTCTTCTTAAAACCTTCCAGCAACTTCTGATTTCTGTAGATTTTCGAGATCCTTTTGCCTTAAAACTTCAAAACACTTGAATCTGCTACAGATTTATAAATGGGTTAAAGAAATAGAAGTAAGATTAGGGGGGGAAAATACCATCTGAAAGAAATTTGAGCACTTAATACCTAAATAGAGTTCACATTTTGTGAAATGAGAAGCGATTTAACAGATTTGAAAGTGACAATTTGAAGAATCCCTAAGAAAAGTTGAGTTGATTGAGAGAAATGAAGCGGAAATTTGAGAAGAGGAGTGTTTGGAGAGAAAAGTTATGTGAGTCATTTTTTATCAGATATTTTCATTTGTTTTCTTTTAACTTTTTATGTTTAATTAATGAATTGACTTATTAGGAGCGGTCATGTCGCCACAAAATTCATTTAGATGCGACAAATTAGATGTAGCCACTGAAGAATTTGGAGCCAAAATTTTGGTATTTGCGGGAACAAATAATTGAGAATTAGCAACGACTATTAGCGGCAAGTTAACATAACTCGCCACTAAATGTTTATCTACTGCGACGCCTTCATATGTCGCCACTGAATAGATAACTTTTGTAGCAACAAATAGGCTCGCCGCTAAATATTGCCACAATAAATCCTGTTTCTTGTAGTGCCACACATGGCACACTCAAACACATTTTTCTGGGCATAACCCTACAAATTCAAGCTTGTGTGCAAAGTCATTGCAAGTCTCATAATTGATACTCACCTAGTCACAACAAGAAGCTAAATGTTCATTCAAGAATCAAGCAATTCGAATTTCCTCATTGAATCTACACTAACATACTTCTCATCAAAAGCACTATTCAAGTTATCGATATTGATCATGATCGACACTCGAATGTTCAAGATAAGAATGCAAGTTTTTCAATCATTAAACTACAACTAGCTTTTGGGGTAAATGAGAAAGAGAGATACAAATCCCAACCAACTAATATTATGCTAATAAATCAAAATAAGAAGTTACTACTACATCAACATCAAAATTAATACAATCCAAACAAAAATAAAAATAAAAAGTCTCAAAATAACAAAATACAACCAAAAAGATCAAAGTACCCTCACCCCACCAAAAAGAAAGAAACAATGCCCTCAATGCGAATAAAAATAACCTAACAGAAAACTAAATATATGAGAAGAATCCCCTTGCCAGGCTAGGCCTGGGGAGAACTCTGGCTCAGTGGGCCAACCTCAACCTGGGCATCAATGCCCGATGCATTAGTAGGAGAGGTAGAGTCTGAAGGATGGGTCCCACTGTAATGACCCATTTGGTCGTTTTGAGTACTATAGCTTCTTATTTCATAAAAGACTCTTTCAATAAATTCTAAATGGGTATTTTAAACTATTCATAACTACAATTATAAAATTAATGGGGTAGTTTTAATAATTAATTATTTTGTTGATAGTTAATGGGCCAAGTCTAAAATTTGTTTAATGTCTTATACCACTTGACCCATGTTTATTAAAAGAAATAAATAGGGTTTGTCATTTTTCTTGTGCGTAATTAAAAAAGAAAAGAGGGAACCGAGAAGAGTAGTCCTGCCGCATATCAAAGATAAACACGACAGTTAAATAATTTATGTGATTTCTCTGCATCTTGTTTACAGAGATTTCATTCTTAAATTGTGAATGACATTTAATATCATATTATATATATATATATATATATATATATTGGGTGATAGAGGAAATTATTATAGTTAGTGGGGAAAGATCAACTTACTGCTAGTTGATTTTTAAGGCTAAAAATTGGAACAAGTTTGATAGGCAATAATGAAGCAACGATTGCTCTATAAGTTAGTGGTCAACTAATTGGTCTTAGATTGAATGGGCATATAGGTTAATGCTTCAGTTGTTCCGTAGCAAACAAAGGGTTTCACTAACAGGGAATTTCAACTCTTAATTACTTTAATTTTATTATCAGATTATAATTTATTATTTGATATTTTGAGATATGTAATTAAATATTAGGTGTATTGTGTTACTTGCATACCTTTAAAGTTATGATAATTGGAGAAATTGAGACTTGCTCGTAGGCTTGAATTTTCGAAAATTGATTATAGATTTGGGTGACTTTTTGGGTCTAGGATAGACATATAGTAATATAGGTGTCTATAGACTCGTTTATTTATTAATT